ATGCCTCTAGCAGTGTGTGTCTCTTTGCACATTTATGTATACACACACACATTTTGCACAAATGACAGGCCTATAATGGTATATTAACATACAAAATGTGTGGATTTCACGGTTTTGGAATATGAAAAAATGACAAGATAAATTTAAGTTGAAAGTTTTACAAATGTAAAATTATTAGAAAACTTAAGGCAGAATGAGTTCTCATTGTGTCGTTAACAAAGAGAAAGGAAAATATCGTTTGAAACATTTCAAAGTTTTCTTTCAGGTAAGTTGAAACCATTTCACAACTTGCCTATATTTGTTTGAATTGTTTCCAGCTGAGTATCTCCATCTTTTCTCGAGTGGGACATGAGTTGAGTCACCTTTAAGCCAAATACTTGATTTATTGGCATCAAAATATAAATGAAGAAATGGTTCATGAAATATTGTAATAAAAGCTTAGAGCGACACATAAGGGGAAGGAGGGCGACGCCTTTCATTCGGTTGGTCGATCACGTTCACGTGCTCTTGTTCCACCAAGTTAGCCGGTCGTGTTCAGATGGTTGATTAATCACTGTGATGAACTCGGAGTGTGAATATATCCAAACGTGTCTATGTGTTTGATCAAATAAATAACTTAACCCCATTGTTTGAAATAGGAATACAGGCAAAATCATCATCATCAAGTGCGGGCGGGTTCACGCCAAATCGGCTTTGGTAAAATAATTGCGTAAAAAAAAGGTTTGATATGCTGCCCATAGATTTGGATGTTTAAGGCCAATTTAGTTCAGACCACATTGATTGGTTGAACAGGAGGCAGATGTTCAGTGGACCAAGAGCTTCTTTGGTTGACTACAGCTCTAAGTAGAACTACCGCTACTGATGATAAATGATATAACTCTAAATGATCTACCAAATAAAGTCCTGTGTGGAGCACTAGTCTATGGATTCAATTCATTTAAGTCTTAATTCAACTAATCCTGCATGCAATCTGATTGTAAGTGAAGCCAAACAAATCGGCCAGCAGCAGCAGTAGACGTTGCATTCAGCAAGGATTTTTTTGTTCTGAATGACCTCCAATACCAAGAATCAATGAGGGATTCATTTTGCTCTTTTGGGAAGGGGGCTCTCTAGGTGACCTTTGTGAAAATGTTCCACCATTTTGGCAGAATCCGAATAAGTGCAGACCATTTCATGTAGACAGTAAGTGTATGAAATGAGTGCTCCTGTCGTTCCAGCCTGGCTCACTTTGACAGCGTGATGATAGAAGCGTCACATCCTTGGGAGAGTAAATGCAAACTGACAAGAGATGAGCCTTTGGTTGCTGAATATAATACGGAATTGTGCTCTGAGTGTCTTATTATCTTGTCTGTTGATGTCTGAAAGGGGGAGATTTGCTTGAGAAGAGAAGACAGAAACTGTACGCGTCCAACACCATCCCGTCCTTTAAAAAAAAAAAAATTGCTTGCCCTACTAACCACAGCTTTCCCACCTAATGTCCACTTCTACTTGGAATAAATACAAGGCGGCAGGATGTTTGTGGTGCCTCGTAGCCCCTGTTAGCTGAAGTGGAAGACTATTTGCACAGGCAAGCTTTTAGGAGGAGGACGACCCTTTCACCACTGCAGTGAGCATGTGGTGGGTGCACAAGGTGGACAATTTACTGTAGACAAACATGACCGCTCCTGTCATTGTCTCCGACTCGCTTCTCCTTCTCGTACTAACTGATGCACAGAAGACTAAAACCCTGTTGTTGAGCATCAACTGCGCAGGGAGGAAAAGTTGTGGACGGCTCTCTAGAAAACACACCAGACAGTAAACGGCAAATGTAACTACAGAGCCAAGAAGAGATGCAGCGATATCAGCGTTCAGTGATGATTCAAAACCGTTCAATATCAACATCAGAATAAGTATATTTATGAACACCACCAGACAATAAGATACAGAGTGCCGTTTTTATCACACCTTTTGTAACATAAAAGCCAGAGCGACGGGAGATCTGGTTTACATGATCTTATACATTCGCCTTGCATTGTAATCATTGTCATCAGATGACTAACTATCATCACAATTGTATGAATCATACACTGTATTCTAAACTTACAGCTTTCCTGCATTTGAGATCATATGTGTTCTGTCTGCACGATACAGTAACACTTTTGTAGAGAAGCAAATTAAGTCGTTACACAATTTTCATTCAACCCGAAACTATTAAGTGTGTGCAGTTATTCTGTGCATGGGGTAAGCGTGTTGGTTATGTCACTCGTGTAATTGGGGCACTATATCAGAGAGAATATGCTCAATAACCGGCGTGAAATAGAACAAAGTTTGGATTGTTACTCTGAAACTGGAGAATCCAGAAGTGATTTGTGCTTCTTTACCACAATGCAAGTAAAGGGAATAATCTTAACATTGTGGCTTCTGCACGGTTCAGAACCACATAAAGAAAACTACTAAAATAATTTAAGTTTTGAGGCTGTATTTGGGGTTGTTTTAATATCTGAGACATAGATGTTGATAACAGAATGGGTGGAACTGCAAACTTTATTCAATCTCCCTGCAATTACAAAAGTTCACTACAACCACAAATACGAGCAATGTGGCTCAAATAACGAAAATCCAACTCCTGTAACAAACCTAAAAATCCTTACTATTGTCTAAATTAACTCGTTGTTTATCCTACTTTGGCTCCTCTAACGGTCAAAATACCTTCAGATACATTCATTCCTATTCTGTGGAAATTGAGCATCTCTAAATTGCCAGCTTGTCTGGAATTAAGACAAATAGGTTTGCTTTTGCATTTATGGCCACATGTGTTACGCTCAATTGCTCTTAGAGAGCGTGCATAGACCCGAAGCAACTCACAGCCGCTTATATAATCCATCAACTACAGTGTTTCGGAACACTAAAGTTTCCAAAATGTTCACTTAAACGTTAAGTGAATACCCCACTGAACAAGCACACAACCATTCCGGTTCTAAAAAGAGGAAGAAGAAAATACAAGTCACCATCACCAAACCTTCTCTCTGGCAGCATTTTAAAGAAATTAATGGAGAATGGGTTTTTTTATTCTTTAACCCCCACACACTGTCTCATATTCTTCCCTCTTATCTCGCCCAGCAAAAGACACTACGGTGCCACGTCTCGACGTTGCCTGCCTTCCTCTCTGACAGGTCATGTGAGCAGCCGATCCCAAAGCAAACCTGCCGCTGGCGCAGCCCAGGGCTCCGCCGGCGGGCAGAGGGAAACCAGCCCCCAAAAACTCTCACTGGAGACGCTCTGACTGGCCATCAGCGGACAGCGAGCACAAAGCAGACACAACAAAAAAATCCTAATCTTATGGCTCAAGAAATATAATTCAGCAGCATGTCCCTTGCATGTTTTACTGTGGAAATGATCACTGTCAAAGACATGTTGGTAATGTGAAGCCCAAAAGAGTTGGAATATAAATAGTGGAGCATTTAACGAGAGGAGAAGAAGAGGAGCAGAAAGTATCGAGTGAGTAGCAGCCGATGAGTCAAAAACAGAGGGAGAGGCTTGATGCTTATTAAACCAAATTGCAACACTTCTGAGACAAATCCTGCAGAACACAGTCCTCGTTTAGAAGACGTTCGCCTCGGGTTATTCTTGAAAAAAAGGATTTAAAAGACAGCTGAACTCTCGCTGATTAGGTTTGGCTAGCCCATGCCCAAATTCTTATTTCATTTTGTTTGAAAATGTTTGGCGAGCTCAGTATTTAGACTACACTCTCTGCTGCTTCCCTGGAAACACACACACACAGACAACAAATCTCATTAAAACCTTGAAAATCACCCAGATGATGCACCGTTTACGGCTTTAGAAATTCATGACCAGCAATAAAACAATTAAATATGAGAATCTCCGACCCACCAAGACATGCACAGACACAGTTTAACTTGGCTGACTCTGTACAAAACAGAAGCATCTTAAGCCATTAAAAATGGATTTTTGTTTCCTTTCATCAACGTAAAAAAATATAACTAAATGATTCTTAAATATCAAGAAGAATTTGTTTAGTTGGGTGCATTTCACAAATACTAGAGATGAGAGCACAACATTTCTTTTTATAATTAAATATAAAAGGTTTAAGCTTCTGCAGCTCTCTCCACAAGGACAAATCTGTTAAATTTACATCTACTATCTACAAGTTAATGTAATTATAAATATTCAGTTTTTAATCATTTACAATTTTAATGACTTTAAAATCTCCCTAATGAAATAAACCTTAAGAACTACATTACATTTCTCAACGAATCTAATAATTTGAAGATTGGCTTAAATTGTAATTTATGTCATGCTTATTGATTTATAATGTGGCCTAGTGAATTAATCCACATAATTGAAGGTGATTATAATAGACAAAACCACAATAGACATTCAAACACTCAAATAATGAGATAACTGCAGCAACAATGAGGCATGCTGATACAGAAATTGGCTAATTTGGAGGATCATTTGCAATTAAATATGCCAAAAGACATAATAAACTGAGAATAAATAGCTGCAAGAGAAGTCTCTAGAAGTGATATCCTATGTGACGTGCTTATAATAAATATTAGTTAACATAAAGCAGAAGTTTAAATTTCCCTCATCACTAATGAAAAGTTTAAATTAATTGTAACAATGAAGCAAATATGATCCTTTCTCCATTTGAAGGAGTAACGACCAAACCAACAGAGTTGTCAAGGAGGGATAGAAGAAACAGTAAAAATATATTTTAAGGAAAATTAAAACTTCAGAATACGTTTTATATGAAGGCGAGTCCTACAAAAATAGATATCTGAAGGTGCATGAAACATCTCAACACACCAACATGATATAAAATAGGAAATCCAAGCTTTAAAAGAGCCAAACACTGACTTGGAAACCGCACTTAAACTTAGTTTGCGGTCTGCCACTGCTGACACCTGTCCCAGCGCTGTGGGCTCCCCGTCCTCACCTCTCTGCCGCCCAACGCAGACCCTCAGCCGGCAGCTCCGCGAGGCACAAACGGGACTCACCGTACAGCTTGTTGGCGCTGCCCTCCGCGTCCGCGGCCTCGGAGGACAGGAGCAGGGGCTCGTCGTTCAGGTCGCTGTCCGGGCTGCCCGCTTTGCCGTCCGCCCGGAGCTCCGCCGCGCTCATGTCGCTGCGCAGGGAGAGCAGTGGCTTGCTCAGCTGCCCTGTAATCATCGGGTCCTGGAGGGAGCTGCTAGCCCAGGTGGGAAACAAGGGAGGAGGGGAAAAATAAAAGAGAAGAGACCCCTGGTTAGATGTGCTTCGGCGTCTCACCCCTCAGCGGCTCCTACTCTATGTCTCTACTCACTCCCTCTCTACCCAGCGTCTCCTTTCTATTGCTCACTCATCACTCTGCCTCGCTCTCTCTCTCTCTCTCTCCCTCCTGCTCCCTCCCTCTCCAGCGCTCTCTTTTATCTGAGGCTGGTGCTTCCCCGCTGATACTGCCGGCTGCTGCCTGGTGAAGAACTGTTACGGATGGGGTGGCGTTACCATTATACCCTGCAGTCCTAAAACGGTGATACATCCATCTCCAAGGGCTCATTACTACCTGACATGTGCCTCATCTCCAGCAAACACTAAGCTGACAGCAGTCTACAAAGGGCTGTGTGTGGATAAATAAATATAATGCTACATATCAGAAGAAGAAATGAGTGAAAACACACACCAGTGATTATATAAATTTTCACACAGTTGGGGACATAAAATGATATCAAAGGTGACATCTCGCAGCAGAGTGTGAGGCAACATGAACTTAAGGCCTGATTTAAACGAGATATGAAGTCACTGATGTTCCTGAAATGTTAACCCAATTATTTTCATTTTTTGTCAGCACATTAAACTAAAGAGAAGAACATCTACATGTATGATCAGAACATTATCTGTCAGAGCATGTTAATAGAAAAAAATGCAAAGAGAATAATATAAAAATACCTCAAAAACCACGTTTAGGGTTATTTTATGAATACCATGAAATGTTTAAATGCTTCCATCAGGACGTTTTATCTCCAGTCGTATCAGACAATTACTAATTATTTCAAAGATTTTTACAAATATCAAAAGTCATATAGTTATATATATATATATATATATATATATATATATATATATATATATATATATATATATATTTCTTGATAGCCGTTGCGCTTACATAAACAAAGCTCCAGAAGAAAATGTTGAAGAATAAACAAAAGGGTTTTCAGAAAGTCCAAATGTTGAAGGCACCGAAACAGCAGCGAAAAAGATGCCGCTACAGCTACAACATGTTTCCACTGAACCAGAAGCAGCCTCCTCAACCTACGTGTATCTGAATGGTCCCCGCAGGTTCAAGCCTGGGGAGGCTTCCAGGAGATGTCACCCCCCCCCCCCCTTCTCTCTGCCTCTTTCACAAACAAAAACACACACACTCCTTCCCTCCCACCTTCACCCCCCCTGTCTCTTCCCCCTTGTGTCCTCCGACTGGAGAGCTCCTCAGACAGTGTTCACTTCACCTCAGGCTCTGAGACAGCAGGACTATGGTCATCTTTCTTATACATGAATAACGTCCAGCATAAATATATCTGAGCAAAGGAAAGGTGACCAGTGCATAAAGGCCCCAGAAAGAAGGTTATCAATTGCCCGCACCCATCAACCCCCCACCACGACCCCCCCTCCCCGCTCCACCACCACCACCACTTCTATCCGGGTGGTCGATGAGTTCCTGCCCACGGGGGCCTTTTTAATGTGCTTGTCACGAGAATCAGCCCTCTTTGATATGACACATGATAATCTATGAAAATGTTAATCAATTGAAATAGTTTAAGCTGTCGTTAAAACCGTAAGCCGGCTGGTCAATACTCATATCCCTGGTAACAATGTCACTAGTCATCAGGGCTTCATTTGTGAAGCACTTAAATGTGGGACACTGCGCATCAATGCACCTCCCTGCCCGCCGAGGTAAACACATTTTCCCCTCTGTCTGAGCCTGGCCACACTATGCATGCATCTGGATCCACCCCCCACCTCCCGCCTCCTCTCCTTTGAGTTGCTTGATAGGTCCACTGGAGGGCAAAATTAATACCTAATTGAATCTTGCAGTCATCAAAATAATCAATAGTTTTTTATTATTTATTCTTCACAGTCTGTTGAGTGTTTGAAAGCTCAGAGGGACGGGGCAGAGCACGAGCAGCCCTGAAATTTCTACCGTTTCACAATGTAATTTTCACTGGGGCATAAGACTTTGCAAGACCTATAAAAAATGAGAGTAGTGTTTTATGTTAGGTGAGGGGGGAAAGAAATACAGGAAAAATGGGAATCTTTACCCCAGCAGCTACGATGAAAAATAGAACAAACAAACTACTAGCACCTCAGAAAGGGGCACGGTCCTTCCTGTCCATCCCTCCATCTTTTTCTCCTTTCCCCTTTTCTCCTTATTTCATCATATCAGGAGTGTGGCGGTACCTCTCTAATACTGGCATTTCTCTTTCTGACAGACTCCAAACAAGTGCTGGGAATGAGATCAGAGCTCTAATCTTCTCCTGGCCTCTGAAGCTCCAGGATGAGGGGGCAGCACATCTCTCTGCACCTCACGCAGCTGTTAATTACCTCATTTCAGAACAGTTTGCTTTGCCTATTTGCCATCATGCCACCGGGCGGGGTGTGTTTATCAATTTAAGCTGCGGGAGTAATGCAATTACACATAACGGGATAACTGTAATCTCATTGTAAAAATCCGTAATAAAAGGGGATATTTAAAAATTACCATAAGAAATTACATTAGTGATTCTAAGCAGTGGACGTGTAAGGGATTAGCTTCATTTTTTAAAGTAACCCTCAGACCTCTGATTAGCAATAATGCGCGTCTGTATGTGTGTGTGTGTGTGTCTAAGAGGGTTGGCATAAGGGAGGTTTGTTTCTTTTCTGTTCACTGAGTCTGGCCACAGCTCAGGAACAGGTTGCAGGAACAAGAAAAAGCACTTGATCCCCCCACCCTACCCCCCACCCCGCTCTGCCTCACGCCCACCAAACTCCCCCAGTGGCTGAATAATCAGCGGTTAGCAGAGTCCTGAGCGTCATCAGATACCCGTGCTAATAGCCAGTGGTCTTACCAGTGCTGTCGCAGTGTGAGGGACACTGTGTGAGGGGTTTCATCCTCTGATCGACACGCTCCTCTTGAAAAAAAACCATTAATACATATAATAATTGTCACAATATAAGAATCACATAAACATGGATCTCAAATATTCACTCTTTCAGACAGTTTTGGGAAATATTAATTTCATTTTATATGATTATCATGTGTTTTCCTTCTCCAGCATGTATTCCGAATACAAATCAGGGACAAAAGTCATCTATTGTCAGCAAGCCATCTATAGGGGCTTTATTTTGACCACATTACTACCACTGTCCAAAATGGTCTACTGGAAAATAATTCTCTTAGCTGATTAGCTTTTACCCTGGAACCTAGTAAGTATTCCTTGTAAAGCAATTAAAATGACCTGAGTAATGAAAGGATATAGATGCTGCCAAAATTGATATCCGATATCTGCAATAACAAATTAGTTCTCATTACTTCAGTAAAATGAATTATTGTTTCACCTTTTTGGTCACTCTTTTATCTATTTTACCAGAGGAAAAATCAAGTCAAGTGTTTTTTTATTGAAAAAATGAATTTCTAACTAAATATAAAATAAATTCTCATTGAGCTCAAATAATTAATATTTATAAGTTGATGAATGCTTTACGTGAAAAAGAAATACTATTATAAGACCGTATGGATATTAAAAGAAAAGATTCTACTGTTTTAAAATAAATGTGTTTTTCCTTTCTCAGAGTTATCCTGTAGATTTAACTACTTTTAAAACATTAAAGTAGTGTTACTCAACTTACTCAACATTAAAAAATATATATCATAATTAATTAACTGAACTATATTGTTTGTGCTAATGATTTATTTAAATGCTAACAATAAATATGAAAGACCTAATTTGAGCCCTGTTCTGTTTCACCCTACTGTGTTGGACCCAGATGTCTAATGTGCTAAGTTATGTGATGATTTGTCTCCCCCTTAGGGTTATTAACCAAACTGTTCTCCTCTCTGGTTGATGGATACTTCTCCAGTTTCAACAAAAAACCCTCATGCTATTCATTAGTAGTGCTATTCATCACTTGTGTCTTTTACTCATGACGAATGCAGTAGGTTTGTATAACTGTATCGGTCACATCACCAGCCAAGCTACTTCCTCTAAATACACTATTTTGGATAACATGGATAAGTAGTCATGAATTTAGGTTATTTTTTTTTCCACACTTATTAATATGATCAGCAGTTATTCATCTCTACTCCACTAAAGCTAAAATGCTCCCCAGTGGTCGGTGGGTCAGTGAAGGCTGAGGGCTATGAAAGCAGTGTATTAAAAAGGAGCTCTTTGAAGCTTGTAAACCACGGCGCCCAGCAGGTCCACAACCGATAGACGCCTCTGATTGGTCAGGTGTGTGTGTGTGTGTATTTTTTACTAAATCGATCCACGGAGCTGACATTCTGGAGCATCAAAGATTTCAGCACACTAATCTGACTCCTCCTATTATTTTTTTTCCCCTAAAACATGCTCATATATGAGAGGGCCTCCTGCATGCTTATGATATGAAAGTAGAGCGAAATGTGTGTTTTAAGGGCAATAAAAACATACCAAAATCTAGCGCCTGCACTGTATTTATCAACCGATAAATAATGCATCACTATAGAGAGCGATGGGGGGAGCAGCAGAGAATCACAGGGCCATCCGAGGGGCACATCACTAAGCAGTAGAGGAGTGACGCCGCAGAGATTCACAGACCGCCGCTCCTCAAAGTCAGTATCCCCTCACACTGCCTCTGGAGTCCTGTGCCACATACACACTCATGAAAGGTGTGAAAATCTGATTTCCCAAAAAGGATCGGTAATTCTCTGTGAGGGTGGAAGCCGCAATCAATAAATCATTGCTAAGTAGATTGTAAAGAAGAAAAAAAAAAGATTCCCCCTTGGTATTAGTGCATTAGGATTCTCCTGAGGATGGATGGGACGAGATGAGGGTGTGAGACAATCTCAATAAAAAAAAGGCAAATCATACCTTTCCCGTTCATCTGGACTCCGGCAAGCAGCTGTCAGCAGGGTGAAGAAGGGCCGGGAAAGTCAACTAATATCTGAGCGGTTCGTTCGGTCATCACGTCCAGGAATGCTTGGAAACATACAAAGGCAATAAGCTAATTGACTGCATTTACAACACACCTTCCATTCATCATTTGCTTTGAGATTTTGAGCTGTGTTTCTTATATCAAAACCCCTCAAACAGGTATTTTATTCTTCAAGGGTTACACCACACCAAGTAATTTGTTCTGTTGAAAGAAGTATTTAGGTTTGTTTGGTAGATGTGGCATTAAAACATTGTAAAAATACTCCATTACAGATGAAAGTCCCGCATTTAAACCCCTCGAAGAAAACATTCTCATTATGAATGAACCCTGAGAAGGTTTAAGCCAAAGTAAAACTGTACAATATATGTAATGGATGAAAAGTATAAAGTACCATAAATTGAAACACTCAGGTAAAGTAGTGATTACAAAAGTACTTCAAAAACTTTAACTTATGTTAGTTAGCATTTATTGTATCCATTCGTGAACAGTTGGAGAAATAATAGTTTAGTAAGGATTATTTATTTTCTTTTGCACCTGTTTAAATGATTTCTAATTGGTGTTATAAAACACAATTGATCATATTGGGGCAGGACGATAGACCGCATATGAGGGTGGACAGGTGGAAAAGTTACACCTTATCTTTCTTATTAGAGGATAAAGATAAAGATGTGACCTAATAAATTCCCATCAAAGCTGCATGCCTCTTTCGACCTGGAACTTGGTATAATCAGCCATAATAACCGAAAACACTTTTATGGGCTTTCGGGGGGGTTTAAGCGTTATTAGTGTAGCTTGGTGGCTAATTAGCTTAAATGCAGAAGAAGAAAATTTAAATAAGCTAACTGACACTTTTTCAACGCAACGAACGCAACTCGTTCTCAAATACAAACACAATTGAAGTTAATACCTGGCAAAAAGTATTAATAAAATCATAAAAGCTGTTCATAAATATAATTACCACGTTTTTAAAGGCCTTTACTTGCTGTTAATTGGTGTCACCTCCTCCTTTTCCGACGGTTGGCCTTAACGACTTCAATACCCACAATGCTTAGCGGCTTTGTTTCTGTCATGTGATTCAACTTATGACAGAGGGAGCAGGCTTCGACAACAAACATCAGTTTTCTCTCCGGTGGATATTTTTCACATGAGGCAAACCCATATGTGATATTGTGACACTTGAACATGTAAAAACGTTTTAATATATTATAACGACTCCGTTCGGTTACAGCTAATAAGGATGGCGGATGTGGAACAGCAGGTAAATATAGCATGCTAACGTTAGCTGGCTAATGTTGTTTTCCGTGTAAGCATCAAAATGAATGAAACACTTGTCAATTTTGTCAACCGCCCGTTGATTTGATTTAGCTTGTTGTGTTTCTATATCTGTGGTGCAGGATGTTTAAATATGTGATTTGATCGTAGCTTTACGTTAATTGTATAGCTATGAGCGTAAAACACTGTTGCTGTATTGTTCTAACTCATTTCTGCGGTCTTATGTTTGAGTGAAATTATTTTGTAAAGTTATGTTACTAAATATAGTAATGTTAATATATTGTAATATATATATGACAACATATAGTGTAATGTAATAAAGCTTCGGTGCTCTAATATAGTCATACATCTTTATGACAGATTGTTAAAATCCTTTCAATATCTCTCCATTCAGGGCAGAAAACAAAGTGAGGAATTCACAGATGAGTCTGAGGTAAGAAACTCTTTTCCACTGACATTTCTCTTTTTCAGAAAAAAACCTGCTGAAAAGAAGTTTATACTTCCGTCATAGTGAGAGAAAAAAATACACCTGAGAATGTCGTGCAGTTGCACCAGTATGTCGACGTGATAATTGTACCCTATGGTTGAATGCACTTATTGTACGTCGCTTTGGATAAAAGCGTCAGCTAAATGACATGTAATGTAATGTAAATGTAATGTAATAATGCAGCCGAAGAGCAGCACATTGCCGATGACAGGGATGTGCGGAGTTGTATTGGGCACGGATGATTTTTTAAAACTTGAGTAAAGCTTGCTGCCTCCTGAAAGGACTGTAATACACAGCCAGCCTTTATCAATGCAGCATGATCCCTGATGGAGCTTTGTCAGATTTTGAGACGTGTCAAACACTCATAAATTACAGATAGCTTTCCAGATCCATCAATGATATGACTGAGCTTTTGGCATGTTACAGTACCCTTGTTGCATCTGAGAATCACAAGTAGGCTAAATAAAATATATCGTCCTACGTCAGCCTGGCAGGAAGGGAAGTCTTTATAGGAAGCAGAGAATCTAATGATGTATCACGGAAAGGCTCTCAGAGGGAAACTGTCAGGCTTGAACCTATAAAAAAACCTCCTACATCCTGCAGTGTGTTCAATACTGTGTCCATGAGGCTGATTGTTTACCTAGAAAAGTGGGGGGATTCATTACTTTCTTAATATTCAGGGAGATATCCACTGCTTCATAATGCACATTAGTACTATTGTACTCTTCCTTGTGTGTTTGAATGATGTAATGCCCCTACAGCATATGTTATCGTAACTGCTAATAGACAAAGAATATGGCAAAGTGGTTCAAATAAAAAGGTAGCTATTAAAAAAAGTTTATGAGATAAAGCTATTTAGCTTTTATTTAATAACAAAATATGGGTTGGCAAACTAAAGTAAAATAACTACAGCGTGTAAAGTGTGTTGCCTCAACACAACCTTTCAGCTTCTCAGCGATCACGTGATAACGTGCAGGAACATCCATTATGGTTTTAATGCTGAGGGAGACACGTCCTCCTCTCTCAATCTACGTCAACGACCAGTGGTCTTCAGTGTGACTATGAAAGCTGCGTGTTGTCCTTATTGTGGACACAACTTTTCAGCTTTAACTTCCAATAAGCAAAGAGTCTGGTGAAAATGGTTCCGACACAAAGGCCAACTCCGTAGTCAACAAAACGAAAGACTACTCACGGGAGAGAAAATGGGTAGTTTCTCTCTGGAAATGAACTTTGCTTTTGTTGTTTGATCTTCGGAAGCCGTAACAAATGCTCCCTTATCGGAAATCTCACAACCAGAATACACAGGAAATAGCCTAGATATGGCGTTGTCGAGTGGGAAAGAATTGTTTTTGGAAATAACATTTTTTCCACGCTTTTGTCCCCCACCTCCAACCCAGTAGCGCATAATGGCAGACAACGTTTTGAGTTGATGCACCTTCTGGGCAGCCGGAGACTGTGCAGCATTGGTTATAAACTGAATTATGAGTAATATTCAGGCTGTGACTGGCCGCAAGTGTTGGCTCACGCAGGAAATTGTAACACCGTGGAATATCTTAAGTGTGCTATATGGAATGACTGAATTCATGTCTGTCACTGGGGATGAACGGTCTCATGAAAACACGGCTTTATGCTGCATTTCACGCAATGTAATGGAAACCTGTTTGTGCATAGATCTCCCGATACACGCGCACACACACACACACACACACACACACACGCCAGGTGAATGTCTTGGAAGAGGAAAGAATATATACAAAATTGACCTTTACTCCTTCTTGGTCCAGCATCTTGCTCACTGGCACTGTGGCCACTGGCTCACTGGCTTTGTGTTGTTGTTAATGTTCAAACACAAATCAAACTATTTTGGCAGTGAAATTTTATTTACTTCATATCGGCCCTCCCTAAATTCATGCACCAAATTATTAATTACGGAAATATCAAGTAAATGAATGAACAATGGAATTAAATTTCAATCATGAATTCATTTATTTTCTTTTTCAAGCCGATGAAAGATTCTCAAGTTATAATATTTTACATTCTTCTGAGGGAGCAACAGAACTTCAACATGCATCATCGTGTAGGGCGAAAAGCATTTCTGCGTAGCGCCACTACTGGTGAAAATTAAGTTGAATGCATAAAGAGTAGTTTTTCTTCTTCTTCTGACTTTGTTTAAAATCGATCGGTTTTACAATTTACGTAGCGGGACATTCCGTAGGAAGGCCTGTGAGGCCTTCACGGGACGTTGTGAACTACAGCACTTGTTAGAGGACACCACCGCTGCTTCAACGAATGCCGTTTGTAAGAAAAATGCATATGAAATAGTGACGGCCCGTCTCACGGGTCTACTCTGTCCACCAGGAGGAGGACAGCGAGGACGAGCCCAAGCTGAAGTACGAGAGGCTGTCCAACGGGGTGACAGAAATCCTGCAGAAGGACGCAGCCAGCTGTATGACCGTCCACGACAAGGTAGAGGTTATAATCCACCGCGACGCAGGGCTCACATTGTTTATGTAACACGCCCATTCTCTTCTCACCTTCCCCCTGCTTTTCCTCTCAGGGAGGTGCATCGGAAGTCGCCGGGCGCCATTGTCCTCTCTCTCTTTTTTTCTTCTTTTTTTTTTTAATTCCCACTCTCACGTGCGGTTCGCTCGTCTCTTCGGTTTGTCCAGTGTTGATGTTTTTTTTTCTTCTTTTTTAAGCGACCACTCTCGGCGAGATGGTTAATCGTTGTGGCACCAGCAGCACACGTGCACGCCTGAGCAGAGCAAAAGTCATACCCAGTTATGTCTCCTCACCTGATGTTTTATTAACCGCTATTGATTTTCATTTATTTATTTTTACTTTGAGGATTTGGTCCCCTCGTATTCTTTTTTATTTATTTTTATTTATTGTTTAACCTCAAAATAGCATCCGTTGCTGAAATTCTAAATTTGATCTGACTGCCTCTTTCCATGGGATTTCTGTCCTTGTGTACCTTCTGTCATCCGGCTACCCGTGTGGTCACAGCAACCCCTCCCCCCCCCTGTCCACCCTGCACCCCCCTTACTACCCCGCCGCGGCAGAACTCCCACAACCTCAAAGCCACCGACGGCGCATATTGCCTTATGTTGCCTCATATTTTAAGTGTCTGAATCGGAATTTCATTTGAACAATTCCTTTCTGATAAATCGCTTTTAAAAGTCGCTCCGCCTCACAAGGTTGAACCCTTTATTTATTTATTTTTGGTTATTTTATTTGGGGAGATTGCAGGGGCTCTGTCTGACATGCTCAGCTGTGCCTGTAAATATAAGCATTTCATTATAGACTGCACTGAAGCATGGTGGACTCGCCGCACATCCACATGCTGGTCCAGGAGGGAGGGGGATTAGGAGGAGGCCACGGAGCCGGGGCCGGGGTGGAAGAACACACACTTAATCTAATGCCAAAAGCCCCCAGATTCCATAATTTTTTTTGTCCCAGTGGACTAACGCACGCACACACACACGCGCACACACACGTGCACTTTTGCTGAAGCAGAAAACACAGAAAGAATTTGCTGCTCAGTAATAATAGCTCAATGCTGAGCAAGGGGCTGATTGGCTCGCACGCGAGGAAGTCAGATATACAGCGCATTTATTATGCTTAAGCATTTTAATTTGAGGAAAGAAAATGCCATTTCACACTGTATGCTTTAATAAATAGGGCTTTTCCAACCCCTGCAATTTCACAGTTTTGCCTCCAAGCCCACCCAATCCCCACGCTGCTCATGTCGCTGCAGCTCCAGGAAGTGGTTCTTTTTTTTCTCTCTAAAGTCTTGAATATGTTTCATGTGTCCTCTCTCCGATCCTGGTGTGATTTACATTGCATTTGTCCCTTTTCAGTTTCTTGCACTAGGGACCCATTTTGGAAAAGTCTTCCTGCTGGACATCCAAGGAAATGTAACTCAGAAGTTTGAAATTGTGAGTACATTGAAGTCCATTGAAATTGATAATAATGTAATAAAATGCATTAGATATACCAGTGCATGGGATTGTTCAGCCATGCTACGGACAAATGCTAATATCGTTAATCATAGGATATATTATTTATTAATTCATATTTTGCACATATTTTGTGGGCCTGTAACTTTAACTCGAGTGTCATTTTGAATCATTAACCAGCTCTGATCTCTGATAGCACATCGGATTAAGGCCCATTGTTTAACTTAACCCTCTCATTTCTGCTCATTTGATCTAGAGGGAATGACTTCTGAACAATAACCTTATTTTATTTGTGAATGTGTAAACTTTAAAAGCACCAACAGTGAAT